TATTTTAGCCATAAATCCAAGAATTATCATTTTCGAGCAAATTTATTAGAAAGGAATCGACAGAATTGAAAAGCGATATATTCTTTCAACAATGTAACTTCACTGGGTCTATCCAATAGCTTGTACAACTTAGATCAGACATCATGTCCTCTACTTGTTCGTGAACGATATCATATCAGTCGAAACCGAAATGCGTAAATCTGCAGATCCGTAGTTATATCATGTTTTGTTCAGATACTGTAACATAGCTTTTGAACTCCTACTACAACGAACTCGACCTTTACACTGAAACATAAGTATTTCCCGTTTAAATAACTTGAAAAACATTTTTATTTGATAAATTATTTTGGAAAGCTGATTTTCTTTATATTATAGTAGGTATGTGTGTTTAAATAGATTACTTTTCGCAAATTTGAAGCAACAGTAACGGAAATTTTGCTAAAATCAATGAAAATTTTTTATTTATATTAATATGAATATCTTTTTAGGCTCCTATAATAACTTTCTCAATGCTGAGAAAGTAACTCTATCAATATCATATTGGAAGCTTTTGGCAAACAAAACCTGCCTCAATGCAGATGCAACGCGTTTTGCACAGCTGTTGAGTTTAGACTTCGATCAAAGTGGCAAATCGCCTCCGCTTCGGTGCAAGTAAGAATATATTTGTAAATAAATAATTGAACTCCTATAACCGAATTCGCTTCTCCCGTAAAGGTGCTGCTGCCTGAGCGACAACGCGCTGGGCGACGTCAACCAGATCGCATAGCTTCCATATAATGGGGCGTTTGCTCGCTGGCGCCGAAGGATTGCTGCAGAAGGAGCTGCATCTGGATACATTTCAGCAGCGGACAATCATCCTTTCGTTTCACTCGCAATGGAGGAGCGTCATCGCGCACCGCTGAGTTCATGCGCACGACGCAAGCGTTGGAAGCTTTAAATATCGAAGCGAAAGCTGTGCGTGGCTTTGGAGCATATTAGCGGCTATCATCTAAGTTGGCGGGTGTCACAAGGCGTAAGTGTTGATTTTAATAAAAGTTCACATTTTAGTAATTGATATAACCTGGTTTTTATAGTCAATGCTGGGCCAGCTGCGCGCGTACAGTTTGCAAATCCATCAGCGCGTAGAGCTGCTAGCCTACTCGGTGTTTCAATGGAGGATTTAACAGCTGCCGCTTTTAATACAGCGTCTGGTGGTGGTGGTGGTGGGCACAAGCCCTGAAATCCCTAACGATAGTGATGAGCAGGCTTGGGAATCACTGGAAGCGCTCGCCGTCGGTCTCTATTCCGAGGCATTGGCCGCCGTGGTGGCGCTTAATGAATCTGACTTCGGCGCATACTATCGCTTCCATTATGCTCGTAGACACGCCGGGCTTTCAGAATCCGCAGCTGTGGTCTGCAAACGGGTGCCACCTCTCCGATTTACGTCACATACCTACAAGGGCTACAGTTGCTCTTTCATCCCACGTTGGTGGCGCCGCGTGACCGCTATGCGCAGGAGCTGGTCGAGATCGATACGGAGGGCATGTCGGAAACAAATCCCGGTCCGCTGGTATCGCTCATCGACGTCCCACAAAATCATGTTGTGCGTTCGTCGCAACGTGATTTGCGACATGATCGTCGCGTCTGCTCTGGCTGCTGATGAGGAGTCATGTACCCCAACTGATGATACATTCCTGGAGCGCCTTTTACGCATTATGGCGATCGTGAGCATCAAACTTTGTTGCGCAAATGCGCCGGTCCCAAACAGTTTGTAGCAACATCAGGGCACTAATCCGGTGTTGTACACAGTGGACGGTTGGTGCGGCATAGCCGTGAACACCCTGCCATACGTAATGCTGTAACACTGCTGCAAGATGACTCCGTGATGAGATAAGTCGTCTGTATATTGGTTCGCTAACACGTCGCGGTGGCATTGTTTTTGCGGTTCTATTGCCGGCCTCGAAGGCACACAATCGCTCTTCGTCGTCTCGAGATACGACGTTCTTTCACCTCTGCTGGTGTAAACGTAATTCCATTATGTTGCAAGTGAAATTCACTGTCGATGGCATCATTGATACCTGCGCCGCACAGGCACCCATTTCGTACACTGTTATATGTTGCAGCACAATGCCGGTCAACATAGCAGCTACTCGGCGAGCGTTCGCCAAACGCCGCTGCATTCAATCGAGCTGCGAGGACATGGTGAATATTCCTTGCTACGTAGTCAGGTGAGTGTGCACGTATGTTCGTTTTTGTTTTACTTTTGTAAATTTTTGCTTTGCTGCAGTTGCGCGGCTCGCAAGTGCTCGAGGCGGCACGTTTACATCGTTTGGGCTTCCCAGAATCAGTTCCTTTGGTCGAGTTTTTGCGTCGTTTTGGTTTACTGGCTGCTTTCGATGCTGCCATGCCAAGGACATAACGGTCGAACAAATTTTAGCCCTAATGAAGTGGATACAGCTACATACCGTATCGGACCTAGTCAAGTAAGTGCAAATTTTAACGTTTTCATCGAGTTAGAGGAGGAAAGAGTTGGTGGAAAGCATTGTTTGCAATATTGTATAAGCAGTTTCGTTGGAAGCATTCCTCAACCAACTATATTTATAATTCCATGTCAGTATTAATTTGTATTAATGCAGATCTATTTTCACTTTTGATTGACATTTTCCATCTTCTATATCAGGCTTATTTATTTTTCCTTCTAACTATTGTGCTCAGGTCTTCACATAAGTTTGTATACGTTTTATATTATTCTTTCGTAAAACTAGATTAAATTTCTAAAATTCAAAAACTCATGTAATATGAATTATGTAACATGAATTTAGCATGCTTTTAGGCGCATAGTATATGTTCGACATGTGCATAGTATTACTGGGTGTAATCAACAACTTTAAATTCGGATACATGTTGTTCTCATAATAAAAATAGAAATTGTCTAAGTTTTCGTTTACCATTTTTAGAGGTTTGAGATATATACATATGTTACATATGGAAATTTAAAAATATTTACATGAGTAGAAAATGAATTTGAATTTTATATATCGTAAAATCTGAAAATTGTTAAATAAATTTTTATATTATTCTAAATTTTTAAAATAGTTATAAATAAGCTTTTACGCACAAATTCTTTTTACATTTTTACTTTTTATGTTGACGTTTTAACGCTTCGCTAAAACATTTTCTGATAGTTAACAAATATTTTGCATATTTTTAAAAAGAAATTGTTGAGTATATTTCGTAAAACTACTAAGAAACCCACGCAATAATCAAAATCGCTTATATAAACACAGGTTACCGTAAACTCCAGTTCAATGGCCATTTTGGTGTTTTGAGTTTAACAAGTAAATTAAACATTTCAAACTAAGCAAGAGTTTCTCAAAGACCTAATTAAGACACTCAACACTTGTTCATAAAATAGGTTTTGAGAATACTACTAACTCGGTTGTTAATCAAATGCATTCATACATACATAATCATTCTCACAAAAGTTTGCGCGAGATGAAGTTCATGGCCGAAGATGAGACCGTCCCAGGATGTATGTAACTGGAATGGACAGCACTTAATTTCTAATAATAGGGATATAATAATTTCGCACTAGTGTTTGTGTGATGTATACTTTGTAAATTTTTCTCCTGTCGCATTTCTTTAAAGTTGTTGAAAAATATACAATTCTCACTCATTATAATTTTCCGAACATGCAAAAAGTTCACAAGATGCTTGATATTGAGCATAGTAAGAGGACTGTTTGGAATGTGAACTAATACAAGAAAAATTGTTAAAATTTTTATTATATCATTTAAATTTATTGATTTATATATCCTATAAACAATATTAGCATCTATATTACCTTAAAAGCTATAGTTAATTAATTACATATACTGTTTTGAAATATTTTTACATATTTACAACATCTATGTACATATATGCCATTCGTTTTAAAGTGTTTTATACCAAGTTCATTCCTGAATCATGTTACAGAAAATTGATAAAAATATAACATATATATGTACTCGTGCATAACCTCAATTATGTGGAATGCAACTTACATAATTATACCATTTTAAGTGTAGCAATTAAAATCTGTTATCATTTATAAACAAACAATTTAATTCGGCATATTAAGTGCCATTCTCAATAGTAATTTTTCACCGTTAGTATATTTCTTCTTGTAAATAACTAATACATTATTGTACATATGATTTCTTTGCCACAAACCACTCATATTTCTGGCTGTGGCGCGTTAACTCGACTAACTGACAACTCTACCACACACAAACTCACGTTGCATATATCTATCAATCTATTGCATGCCACTGACGCTCTTGTACGCCGTGGTGTGTGTTGCCATTTGGACAACATATTTCGATGATTTTATTACTCAAAAAGCTGCTGTGCAAGAATTTGGCCGGCCCAGCGCGTTTAATGCCACCGTTTCGCCGTAACCAAATGGCTGCGGCTTAGAACGTGTGCTTAGATAGAAGGTGCCGTTTTTGGCACAGCCGGTTCACCTCCCATAAACGCAGTCATCGACTTCACCTGTCCAACATTTGTGCAGCCACAATCCCATTCGTCAGCAGAATACGATATGCTGAAACGGCTTACTACCGCAAACATCTTCTGCACCGTGTGGCACCAAAGGCGCGTGGCTGTCCAACGATTCCGCAAAGTAATACAAGGCCAAAATGATCGCATGAAATCAAATTCAGCTGCCGTCGCATTCGGACAGTGTGGCTGGCCTAGACAATTGACAAAGAATGCTGCTTGTGTAAGTTTCGTGCTCGGATTGCCCAGCGGCGTATGTCCGTGTGTATGGATTCGTGTAGATGGCATCGTTCGGTAAACGTTTGTCTTCGCGGCAACTGCACGAGACCGGCCGGTCGAGCGCATAGATGACACCGTAACGTTGCGGTTTCTTGTTTGCCCAGGCCAGCTATATGCGCGCCGGCCTATGACCCACCAAATAAATGGTTTCGTAGGGGATACCACTTACTCGATGCAAGAAATGTGAATTCTAGCAAATTTTTGCGATCTCTGACAAGACGGCTAATGGTCCATAGCTAATGTCCATCGATATGGCACTCCAATCAAGCTTATTACTTGAAATTGCCCGCCGCTAAGTAAGATCCTTGATGGCTGCATTCGAACAGGAGGTGCTCCTGCCGGTCCAACCGTGTATGGAGATTCTAAATGAGAAAGCGTACGATTTTATAGCGGCATTTAGTTAGTCGGAAGGCAAGGTCTAATATATGTACATTGTGTCTTTAAGAAATAATATAATGATAAAATAATATGATTATGGTAATATATTATATTTGTATATAAATTACATATATATAATATAGAGCATAAAGAAGGCTTACCATGGAAGGCAATAAATTTGAGTTGAATACGTTTTGTGAATGGTTTTCACCTGTTTAATTTATTTTCCAATAAAGTTATTAACTGATATCTTACACTGGGTTTCAAACTAAACAATATGTTTTGAAAGGTTTGTCAGTGTTACTTTTTATGCAAATAACATTTTGTTTATACCCAGACACTGAATATTCCCTATTGCAACGACGTTTGTAACACTCAGATGGAAAATCCGGGTCCTTCTGGCTGTTACATTCAGCTGATTTGTCATGTCTGACTGTCTATGTTTCTCTGTATATATGCGAACTGTACCTCAGTTTTCAAGATATTGATTTGAAATTTGGCGCACGTCTTTTCTCCAAAGCTGCTCATTTGTCAGAACCGATCGGACCACCATATACTGTCAAAAACTGAATGATCAAAATCAACTTTGTTGTAAAAGTTTTTTGACAATATATGTATCTACATAAAAGCATACATAATTTTGCACGGCACCGTTACAACTTGCGAATATTTTGTTCAGTTTGGACCACTGTAGCATACAGCTGCCATACAAACTGACGTTTAAAATCAAGTTCTTTATGAAATCTTTCTTATTTGTGAAGTGTATTGTGACCTTTTTCTTTTTTATTTTCGCTCGAAATAATAAATTTTATGTTTGTTTTAAATTTTATTTATTTAATTTTATTTAATTATTAATTTAGACTAATTTATGACTATATATTGTAATTTACTGATTTTTGCGGCTATGTCAATAACAATCATAAAAATAATTAAAACTGAAATTTGGTTCAGTTTGAAATGTGCGAAAATTTTTATTTCATTTTATGAGATTTTTTCTTTTAATAAATCCTTAATTTTTGCAAAATTCTATTATTTGTATGTAATTTATACAAAAACATTAACACTTCACAAGGCGAAATAATATTTAAAAATAGTGTCTGAAAATTTAATTCGAAATTTTTCTACAAAAATTTAAAATTATTATTATTTTCTTTTTAATTTATAAAAAATAAATTAATGTATTACAGCAGGAGCAAAATATGTTAATAATCGAATTCAGCAAAAATAGAACATTCAAAAACAACTTATACCTTTCAAAACCATTCGAAATATTTTCGAATATTTATATATATTTACATAATAGAGTTAATCGACTAATCAGATTAACCAGATAGGGCATTATTCGAATAATAAATTCGGTTTGTCATACCGGATAGTCGTAATTCGTCGAGTATTCGGTTAACTGTTCGTTGTCGATTATCCGCTTAACCGTATTCGAATAGTAAGCGTTCATTTATATACCGGATATTCGAATAACCGCTTTTCAAGTTATTTGAATAATTTTAAGAGCCCTAAAACATATTTTCATTTTTCATTCATAACATTTTCTTCACATGAATTTTTTATTATTTACTTTCGCACCATGCAATATTCATAATACACTTTCAAAATGAATTGATTGATTAATGAACCAACATAATTTACTCACCTAACCGGCCATTTTGTATTGAAGTATGACGCACGCAGCACATCAGCATCGCCTGGCAGCAACACTTGCGCCTTATATGGATTCTGTGGCGTGTAGAGCTCGTAACGTACGTGTTTAATGCGCGACGCACGCCACGAAGGATCCAGCTGTGCGCGCATTTCATTCATTAAAATCTCGCGTACAGCGCTCGATACTAAAATATCACAACTGCCGCGTTCATAGGAGAATTTCGAATGCGCCAATGCTGTAGGGAAGATGTGAAAGTGAAACTCATAATAACTATGTATTATTTGTTGTTACAGTTTCTGCTATTTCTAATGCTCACCACAAAGAATCGTGAATACAAATATAAACACGGTTAAATTTGTTGACATTTTGGTTTATTTTTAATTTTATTAAAAAAAAAAATAAATAAAAAAATTAACACCGTTTGTAAGCCAGTGGAGTACTTTGCTTTCAACAATTATTTGTTTATCTTTTTGGGCACTAAATAACTCTTATCACATTAACCTAAATGCACTGTAAGTCCACACAAATCTTTCCGTCAGCACATCAGGCTGGCCCTTGTGCTCCTGCCTGATTTATGTAAGAGCGAATCGATTGCGCGCTATTACGATTAAGCAACGAGTTTAGCAAAGCAACGTTCAAGCCATTCCAGCGGCCAAAAGTCGAAAGCAGGCAACCACTTCGTCACACGTTCTGACGCTAAATGCGGTGCGATAACGGGCACAGGCTCAGTTTAAAGAACATTGCTGCTAGTTGGCGCTCGGCTGACTTACAACTTCGTCAACTCAGTATGTTGCTTTTAACTTTTCAGAACGTTGTTTCATTTTGGCAATTGTTTTTTTTTCTGCTGGCTGTAAGATTTGTTTGTTGATTGCTAATTAATTCGTTTTGCTGGCGCAAAAAATCACAAAAAACTGGTGGTGTGTGACAAGACGGTCGCGACGCTTTGGAGGTCGTTAAGGCAGTGACATGCGAGTTTTTATACCCATACACAAGAACAGCGCTACATTTCCACAAAACAACTTATTGTCAGCTTTTCTAACAATGCAACCTGGCTAACGTTTGGCTGTTCTGCAGTTGTTTTATATATTAAGTAAGATCAATTTTTAAAAGTCAACCACTTCGTTTACTGATATATGTTATTTTCGTGACGATGCGTTGCCGAATGTATAGCTTTGACAGAAGTTACTAAAGAGTAGAAGAGGATGTAGAAAGTCTAAAACAGGCAACGTTCTTCCGTTATCCATTGGCAAGAGAGAGCATAATTATTTCTTATAAAGCTATTACTAGTTGGTGATTGCTTTTGAGATCGAACAAATATGTAGAAGGCCTCAACTTACTCTCTCATTCTTCACAAGCTTGTTTTTTTAGAGCGAAATATAAGGCTTAAAGGTGTTTTGGTATTAATTGCTCACCTAGTGTGTATATTGGCTTTTCAGTATCAGGAATTTTATAGCACAATAGACGGTGTTATAATAATTATCTTGATTGCGTTTCGCGCGAACTTAGTAGTACCTTGTTTGTGAGTATTCTAAACTTATACATAAGAAGTTGTGTCGAATTCTAAATTTATATTTGCATGTCTCATTGAAGTACTTTGAGTAGTACAATTATTAAATAAGCCGGCTCAAAGCTTAAAAAATTGTATACTTGTGCTAAGGACCAAGCATGGCATTTTTTGAGGTAAATATTAAGATTCACCGAGACTATTTTTGGGTTTATATTAATTTACTATCATACATAATTCAGACTGTGTTGTAGCACCCTAGACTATATAAATACTAGAAAACGTCGGTAAACCAGATAATGTTTAAAAAATCGATTAAAGGAAGGCGTTAAGAAAAAAAAACCAAAACTTTGGTTGAGTGAAGATATCATCTTAGAAGCGAACACCAACTTTTGGGGAGAAGGCACTGTACTAAATGAAATATCAACAAGTAAGAAAGGGCTAAGTTCGGGTGTAACCGAACATTTTATACTCTTGCAATTTGCAAAGATCAAAGCCGGGAAGATACATTCAGGTGTTGGCAAAACTTTTTATAAAAAAAATATTGCGAAATAATTCCATATTCATTAATCGACGAAATCGTAAATAGATTACAATCAAACTTAGTATTTTATTAAGTTATATTATAGGTCACTTAGTTTAATTACTATATTTTACTTCGCGTCAGCTAAAATTGTATTAAAATCATCTTCAACTAAGATATATGTAAATATAATATATAAATTTAATATAATCGCATCGCAATTCATTATTTTAGGAATATAAGGTTTGCACCAAAGTCAAGAACAATTTCCAATTCATATTCCCACACAAATTTTAATTTTATTAAAGTATCACACATTTTGTCAGGTGGAAAGTCGAAAATTATTATACATGGGCTGATTGAGTTAATTTTAACATTGTTGAGGTATACTTGAGAGCATTTTCAACAATAAATATATGAGTTTCATTAAGGTACCTCACATACCATCACCAATATATATATAGTGTAAAATCAACCGGATGTTTGAAAATTCTGTGATTAGTTATATTGGGGCTAAGGTAAATTTTCACACGATTTTACTTGTTTTTGGCACAAAAATGCACCATTATAAAAAACATACATCCAATTAATTTTTATTAAGGTAGCTCACATATTGGTCGATATGTACGGTATAAAGTAAACCGGAAGTTCGACAATGTTTCGATAAGGAATCTGGGGGGTAAGGGAAGTATTGACCTGATTCAATTCTTAATTTCTATACCAAGTTACAGGTTTATATGTTCATTTAGTGTTTAGTAATGGCATTATATAGATTTTCGATTAAGAGCGTTTTGTGGGCGTGGCAGTGGTCCGATTACGCCCTTCTACAATTTCAAATTTATTATGGTGCCAAGGATATATATATCGGAATATTTTTAGGTTATACAAACAACCGTTAGGTGAACAAAACTATTATACTCTGTAGCAACATGTTGCAAGAGTATAAATATAGTCTAAAAAGTACAATTCAAAAGCTCAGACTGCCTTTGTAGCTCGTTTTCTACATTTATTGCCTCTCTTCAAATTTCGGAAGCAATTTAGAACTTACCTACCTTTGCTCCCAATTCTAACGAACTTAATATTTATTTCCATTTCATTTGCTTACTTTATTTTATAACCTATTATCTGCGCCTCACATATTTCAACTAAATATATAATTAACTTACTGTACCAGTATTGTATTCATCTTTGATCTCATTAAAGTAAAATGTTTCGCAATATTTGGCAGTTTTGTCACCAAAAGTGTGAGATGAGATGAACAGATGATATGTTGTTGTTGCTTATGACACTGCATAAATTCCAGCAATTATCTGTTCAGTTTGAGCTTAGATCAAGTTTTATTCTTTTTTTTTAGTTTTTATTCAATTGGTTTTTTCGTTTTGTTATTACGTAATTTTTCAAGTATTAAAAAATTAAAACGGAATAAATTTGATAAATGAATCACATCTAATTAGAAGTTATATTTATTATTTTTTAATAATGTCATCCAAAAATACAAAACTTTGTGCTGTAACTGTATTCCAAAATTATGTGAAATCGATTCATAACTTTCTCTAGCATGCATTTACTATGAAGATGATAAAAGTCCGTTTCTTAGTGAGTATGTGATTAGCTATCACCATGTTGTAATGTTTACAGCACGTTCTTTCGTTCTTAGTTTCGACAAACATTAAAAATAAGTACTTTCCAACAGCGGTTGTTTCTGGAGAAGCTATGGAACGCCTCCGAGTGCATTGTTCGAACCTCTCACAAAGTTTTCATAAAATACATTAGCTTTTCGGAGTGGCTTCAAACTTTTAGGTTTATTCAAATGCAATATGGCTTAGTGAAAATAAATACTCCTTAGTATAATGGGATTTTGTGCCAAAACTTGCTGATCTTGATACTTACCACTATATTTTCAATAAATATCTTATATTTATATTACTCTATTTATTTATTTTAAAGCACTGTTTTTGCATTATGTACACTTCAAGGTTTTTGGCTTCACTTCAAGTCTCTATTAATAATTGAGCATTTTAAATTCTGTGCACAATTTTTAAGTACTTGAAAACGAGTGTGGAAATTTCTGACTTCTTGGCTGTTTATATGTACTACGTATGATATACAAACAGCTCAACGCGATGATTTTAAAAAGTATGCCTTCTTCAAGATTTTAGTTAACTATTGCTATGTAAATCTACTAAATCAGGCTTAAATTTTATAAAAACAAGTTAAATATATAAATGAAACATAAATTTAAAAAAAAACAATACTCAATAAATGAAACAAAGTAATAAATTATTGAAACAGTTAAAAATTAAAAATCAAACTAAAGATAAATGTTAAATTAGTAAAAAAATGCAAAAATAAAACTTAATATATAAGAAAGTAAAGAAATATTAAATATGACAATTTACAAGAACAAAAAACAATTAATTTAATATTCTGAAAAATAAAATAAAAAATGTAAAAAATTAATAAACAATTAAAGCATAAAAAATTTGAAATGAAAGCATCAACCAAAAATTTAAAATATATGCATATGATCATAATAATAATGAACAAAAAATATAAGAATTAGAAAAAAAAATAAAATAAAATAACAAACAACGTTAACTTCGGTTGCATCGAAGCTATAATACTCTTTACAAATACAAAGGTTCCTTACAAGAACTTGATTCCGATATAATTTCGTGAATATACCTCAAAAAATAAAAAAGTTTTCCATGCAAGCACCCTATTCCGATCAATCAGTTAATATGGCAGCTATATGCTATAGTAATCCGATCTATACAAATTCTACGGAGATTACATTGTTGCCTTAGAAAATAACTCGTTTCAAATTTCGTGAAGATATTACGTCAAATAAAAAAGTAAATCAACTCAGCTCCTCATGTTGATCAATAATGTATATATTTTATAGGGTCTACGAAGTTTCCTTTTGGATGTTAAAAACTTCGTGGCAAACTTAATATACCCTGTTCAGGGTATATATATAAATAATAAAAAATAATCGAAAATAAATATATTATAAATATGAAAATAAAAATAAGAGAGTTATATAGTATCAGTTACAACACTTTTTCTAATTCAAATAATAACTTCTTAAAGAGTAAATTCTTAACATCTGTTGTTTAGAGCTTGTATTTTTAACTTCCCGCTAAGAAAATGGAAAATTTTCTAAAAATCGGGAAGATATTGGTTTCACCCCATTTTGCAAAAATCGAGTTCTCAACAGATCTCGACGTTCTGAGGGTCGAGGAAGCTTCCCCGAACATTTCTACGATGATGTCCGTATGTCTGTATGTATGTGTGGATGTATGTGTGTGTGTGTGGATGTATGTGTGTGTGTGTGGATGTATGTGACCCTCTTATAACTTTTAAACGGCTCAACCGATTTGAATAAACTAAACGGCATTCCAAAGGGTTTCATTGCACTTGAATTTCGTGTAAGTTTGGACCCGATCGACACCAAAAACTAATCAGTTCTAAACCTTGAAGAAACACATCGTTTGCCGCAAACCGGGTCGAAATCGGTTGATTTACTTGCTAGATATCGAAAACGAAAAATTTCGAAGAGCTCAAAAGCAGTGAAAAAAGCGAAATTTGAACGTTAGCGTATGAAATTAGAGGGAAGTTGCAGGGATGGCCCTTGAGGCCAACCGTTTTCCACATTTTTTTATCATGAAATCTGGCATCACAATTAACCACTCTAAGTCAGTTCCTGTCACATATTTACGATCGGTTCTTTTGCGAAAATTCCGTTTAACACAAATCTTAAAATTTTTATACCCAGAACAGAGTATATTGAGTTTGCCACGATATTTGTAACACCTAGAAGGAAACGTCGGGTACCTTACCAAATATTTATATAAAAAATTAGCATGCTGAGCCGAGTCGTTTTAACCATGCACGTCTGTCCGTCTGGTAAAAATTATGCCCTTGTATAGAAAACTGTTATATTTGACGAGATATATTTTGATAATTTTGGCCAAGATTCAAGATAACGGTATAATCTAGCTTCGATTAT